TCTAAATCAGCCGGTAAATATTTATTCTTTTACAACCTACATTTGCAATAAAATAAATGTCAAAATGTATTACGTGATACATATAAAAATATTTTTTAAATATAACGAAAAAGTTTTTGTAAATATTGCAAAAATGTTTTAACGATAAGAATAATAAATTTATCACACATAGAGTTAGAGAAAATATTGAAGGCTGTCGGTATTGACATAAAAAAAAATATATAGCCTTACTTATTATATATATATATAGTATATATATACTGCGATTGAATGAACAGACATTTAGTAAGAAACAGTTTCATTATACGTGCAGCGCTATTTAATTTGAAACGACATTGTAAAAAGTTAATGTGTTAATAGTTCTAATAGGAACATATTGCACAATTCTCGGCCAGTGTTTTCCCATCCCGAAAGAAACCAGGACAATATCCCGGCGCTATTTCTATCTTATCTTCCTGCGACGAGCGACGTTTCGGGCGGTTGTTAGATACGAACAGTTTCCACGGAAGAGCATTAGCGGCGTTATTAGCGCTAGTTAGAGGATACGCTTTGGTGAGAGATGAGAGCGGTGTATAATTATCCATGCCTCTTCTCCCCTCGACTGAACAGACGAGGACGACGTGTTTATGTGGCGCCGACTGAAGGAGCCTGGTAGAGTGTCTTGTATTATCTGCGACATCAGACCAGCCGACGACGACGACGACGACGACGACGACGAGTCATTGAAGGAGGGTGGCAGAGTCGAAATGAGTAACAAGTAATCTAGCATTTCTTGCGCGTAGCAGCTGCACCCAAGAAATTACGAACTTGGCGATATCTTGCGCGCTAACCTGAATTTATTATGATTTAACAACATCACGTGATTGCGTGTACAGATGCATGCCACGCCGACGAGAGACGCACGTAAATGTGCGTTAAAAAGAAAACTAAATACGTATAATATGCTCCGACCGAATTGCTGCAAACGAGATACAAATTTAGGCTTTTATTTAAAAAAAAAAAAATATCTGTACCGCGAAATTGCTGTATATTGCACGTCTAATTTTCGTGTGCCAATATTTCAACGAGTATCAGATTCAATTAGAGCTTTCAATTAATATCAAATCATCGTTATCAATTTTCGAGGCACGTGATTAATTTTGGAAATTCATGGCTTTCAGTCAAAACTTTTCAAATTGTTTTTTTTTTTAATTTACAACGTAAATTGCCACAATCATCGGCATATTGCATCGTGTTTTACGTTCGTTAAATGGTATCCTTTCCAAATTCTATGTTAATATCACGTGCAGTCTTCTCTTAGAGTGTTTAATTAAAGTGCCGAATTAAATCAGGTTACACGATAATGTACCATTCAATAATCAATACGAATTACGTAAATCACCTTTCCTGCCTGGCACATGCAACACAATCACAGGACACGCAATACAATCCTATAATTTTGCGTATAGTAATGAGAGGAATTGACACTCGAATTTCCATGAAACAATTGATATGCGTTTCGATGCATCGCCGGTGCATCCGTATCCGCCAACATACACCATTGCCATTACCACTTCAATCCATTTTAGTCGAATTCATTAATCGTTACAATATGCATTAGACCTCGTGCAACGTGCAAGCGTTTTAAACGTTTTCGCATTGAATTTATTCTCATATTAAATTTCACCCACGCATCTCGAATATAAAAACGCCATTTCAATACGTTTGCTAAAAGTGAAACAGTTTTACAATTACAACAGCCTGATAAGTTTACGAGCGCTTTTTTCTAGAAAGATCCGTACACGTTGAATCGTTGAATACACGCGGAAAACTATATGCTTTCCCTCCTATTCTTTCAATTTGGACCGAGTATTTCTCAGTTTCCCATTTCCTCATCAATTACATGTTATGAGAAAAAGGACAAAACTTAGAAATTCTACCATATGATGTAAAAGGACAGAACTGAAAAACGTTTCTTAAGAATCAATAAAAGGAGCAACACAAAAAAGCACGGCTTGGCAATTGTTGTAAGATTTAATATTATTGATTCTTGTTTTTAGTTTTAGGTTTAAATATTATATCTTACCAATCATATTAAAGAATTTTACTGCGCAGTTTTTGTTCAGGTTCAGGTAAAATAAACGCTAATCTTGCTCCTTTTTTTTTTTTCAGAATAATATTTTAATGCACTTGCGATAATGTGACGTCTATAACTCGATACCTGAAAATATCAAGACTTTCGAAGAGAAACTTTAAAATTTACCTGAGTATAAATACTATTGAAGGCTACATTTTGAAGATTTCCTTTGAAGTTATAGGGCAATTGCGAATTTAATTTCATCAGATATATATATTCTATATTACACATTTTCAAAATAATGAAAGAAATTATTTAAAAAATTACAGATTATTCTAGATTGTATTTAAAAGTAATACAAAAAATTTCGCGATGGTTTAGAGAGACAATCGGGATCAAAAATTATTTCAATAAATAGTATTCTTTTTATCTGTGCTCTGATATGGAAATGTTTTATAAAATAACGTAAAAAATTCTCAAATTTGTAAATGTAAATACTTTAAGTATTCTTAAAATAATTTAGGGAAATGAACAAAATTTATTTATAAAATAACTAATCTCTAAAACTTTTTATATAAATAATTTTTAATATTTAAAAAGAATAAGATTTTTGTCGTTATTTTTTACATTTTAGAACAAAAAATAATAACAACTAATATAAATAAATTATAAAAATATTCAATAAAAATTAATATAACGCAAGATACAAATACAACTTCTATGTACATCAGTTATTTAAAGTATAAATATTGACACATTTATAAAAATGGATGTAACACACCCTTAATATCCATCGCGCGTGTATTTACAGATGTGTTTAGGTAGGGAGATCCTATACAATCTATACCTGTTCTGGCATCTTTTTATTGCGGATAGAGCTTTATAACGCGCCTCGATGATGTTAGCGTACATTGGATCTCAAGCGTGAGTGCATCGTCGTAAACGCACGAACAAAGGCTGCGTTAAGTGCATAAGGCGATGGTTATACTGCTTCACGCTCTACTTGCTCGTATATTATATTGTTCGATACTTTATTGCTCTACGCACTAGGACGCGATGATGAAATAAAACGTCTGCTTTGTACGTACGCGCGAGAAATAGCCTCCTGTTTTTCCTTCCCGTTTGAATTAGCTCTACTGAATAAATAAAGAATTCCAAAGACACAAAACTGAACGTATCCTTCAGTTTCTCGCTGATAAAAATAAAAAAGAAATATCTTTGTCTAAAGAATTTTGCTTGACTGAGAAATTAAGCACGATCTCCGGACAACAAAGTCTCGTTACAATTCATTATTTCGTTCTCGCCTCAAAATGACTTTCGGCCGTCACTCTATTGACTTTTCCGTCCTGTAAAAGTTAGGTGACGTCTTATTCCGACTTTTAACTGTGTGTGGTGTCTGAAAATGAAAAATCGAGTATCGACGTACGCGAATTGAGAGTCTAATTCGACTCTTAGGGAACGAACGACCGAGATCTTCCTTGCGTGCCAACACCTTATTTGCCGGCAGTAAAAATAGAAGTACCGCGCGCGCTCAATTTTCCTAGGAACGATCGGTACGTCGAACGCGATTTGACGATTACGAATTCAACGAGAATCTCGTCGGTATAGGCCTTTATCTCTTCGCGGCACTCGCGCGCGCCGCGCGTATCGTGGGACCGTGCAGGTGCCGGGTGCTACACGATGGCAATAATGATGGCCGTCCATATCTCTTTAACAGTGCCACGATGTTAAGCGAAAAATATCACAAAGTAACAGTATCATCAGAACTACATACACAGACTACATGCACGATAGAACATATGGACGTTCGGAAGGAGGGAGGCAAGAAAGGGCATTCCTCCCTCTAGGCGATAATTTCTAATACACTTTCTTTCTCTATATACTTATATTTCCCGTCTCACAGTGAAAAAGCTTTTAATACCGAAAGGTGTATATTCTGATTCTCGAAATTATTGTAATAACAAGAGCTTGGGTGTACATTATTATTATATTTTTGAATCAGCTCTCGCCCTCTCTAGGAAAAATCCTGCGGAAAGAGGAGTATCTTTCGCCTTTGCGAAAGAAAGAAACTTTTCTCGGGGTGGAGTGATGGGAAGAATTGCGCGAGGGCACCCCGCGCCGGTTGACACGTCGTTGGCCGGGTCGCTCTCGCGCCCGGCAAAAGCGGGCAAAAGTGTCGGCGTAGCCGCGAACCGACAACGACCACCGTGTCGCTACGGCCGTCGCCGTCACCTTTGCGTTCGCCTCTTTCGCCCGCATTGGTTAGTCGTTGCCGCTCGTGGTGTTTCGTGTCGTTCCGCGCGCGTCGTAGCCCGCTTCGTAGTCGCGATACACCGTCCGCTCCGCTCGCCCGTGAGGAGAGGGGCCACCCTACGACGATGTTGTCGCGGAGTCGCTCGAAGAAGGGGAGATGCTCCCCCGGGGAGCACGAATCTGCGGTGTACGGGAGTAGGGGAAGTCAGCTGAACGCGCCGGTGGAGTGGTGAGGGTCGGGCGACGAGAAGGGCAAGCCCGAGCGCTCCACGCTCCACGTCGACCGCTCCGAGCGGTTTAGTAGCGAGTCGAGTCTCACCGCGTCAACGTGTTGAAGATATATATCGTGTACGATAACTGTACGCAGTAACTGTAACTGTGTGAGACGCGAGTTCGTTTTCTTTCTTTTTTTTGTTTCCGCGTGATTCGTCGTGATTTCAACGGACGCTGCGCCTGCCGACCTAAGGGTGCTCCGACGATCCGCTTCTCCACACAGCCTCCCTCTCCCCCTCTCTCTCTCTCTCTCTCTCTACATGATTTAGTGCTTGTGTGAAATAAGAAGAAAGGGTTTTGTGCGTATCGCGCGCCACAGATAAGTGCCGCTCATCACCGAATCAAGCTTAAGCCTGGTGCATGGCTTCGCGTTCGAGAGTGATATCGTCGTTTCACTGCTGCGACGGATATAAGAGGAAGATAGTGCGACGGATCGCCGATGAGCCGTCGAGTGTGATATAATAGAAAAAGTGGTGCCTATCGTCGAGTAATATACGACCGACGGCGCGAGCGAGGATCGACCGCGAAAGATGCTGACGTCCAGCGCGAATCAGTATCTCCGTCCTGATCATTACCTCACGCCGCTACCTACTACGGTTAGTCTCTCTCTCTCTCTCTCTCTCTCCCTCTCCCGCCCCCTCTACGCTGGTTATTCGCTTTTCTCTCGTCTCTCCTTTCTACGTCGCTATTTACGGAGTCCATTATTCATACCCCTCCGTGTCCGTTTGTACGTCGCGAGTTAACGATTTGTCGAGATACGCGTCTCTCAACGTCTTAAAGGCTTCGTATTTAACGAGCGATATTTCCTACTTGCCGTTTCTTGCATTCCGAACGGCGCGGCGGCGCGACGGAATAACAACGCACTCGGAGAAAAGCATATACGCGAAAAGAACGATTTCGCTAAAGCGCCTGAAAATTTTGGTAGATACAGACCTGAACATAATTTTGTTGAATTAAATCAAAGTAATTATTTAGGAAGTTCAAGCATGTGCAAAAAAAAAAAAGTTTCACATTCCAGCAACTCCCTACATAATTATTTTAAATATGTCAACAAAATTATTTTAATCTTGCATTTAGCTTTTTTGATATTTCAGTGCAACTTTCTTTCTGTGTGTGACAGCAACTGTAAAGGTGATAGTTTTACAAATTTTATGTGAATTCACAGTTGAGTAAATTAGTGTACATAGTTGAGTGATGTTATATAATAGTTGAAATAACTATTGAATAGTTTGTGCAACTATGTACATTAACTTTTACAGGACGGAAAAGCCACTCTGTGGCATTGAAACAGATACACATTTTTTGAGGCAAGGAATATTTACAATATTCATGTGAAAAATAATGAAGTGTAACAAATCTTACTCAACGAAAAGCTGTAAAATTTTAAAGATAAATCTCTGTTCTCTAAAGATTAAAATTCTACATATAAAACTTGTCACTTTTACAATCGCTGCATTTCTCTAACAATAAGATATCCGGTTTCTCATTTTCTGGTTAACTTGAGGTTTAGATTTAACCTCACTCAGCCTGATGATAAATGTAAAAATTATATTTTTCTAATTAAAATTAATCAGGAACGGTTTTTCGCGCAGTATGACTTTAAAAATTGTTACAAAACCGTAGTTAGAAAAATATTATTTTACATATTATTATCGGGATAGATTTAAAAACCAGAAATTAACTAGAGAATGAAAATAACCTCACCTGCAATGAAAAACACCGCTTTATTATTCATTCTCTTTATTTCGCATCTATCCCGAGAAAAAAATGTGCATTCAAAGGGAGAAAATCGATTTATGTTGCAAATAAATCACGTTGAAAGTTAATATGATAAACAGATCGCGCCGGAAACAACCCATCGTAAACATTCCGTAAGTACCGACGACTCGAAAATCGAAGTATCGATGAAGGATGTTAATTTTATTTTATTCTATAATAATAATCTCTCACGGATATTCGTGCAACATTTATATTATTAACGCAAACGCAAATAGCCCGAATGCTTGAAATGTCGCGTATGCATGAGTTCTGCTTAAAAATATCTTTCCTAGCGGCTCATTAACGTCGCCTGTCGTCGTTTCGTTAATCCCGACGGAAACACGCGCGCCGCGTTTTATGCTCCGAACTCCTGTAAACTATTTTGGGGACAGCGAGTGTGCGTTGGCAACGTCACGGCGTGCGTCGTGCTGATTTACGCACGTCATAAATCAAAGCGCGATTCGGTAATACAATGCTGATTGTTGTGCAGGGGTGGGGGGGGGGGGGGGGG